CAATCATCTATTGACAATGAAATACATTTTGAATTTACATTTCACACATGTTTCTAGTAAATGGTGCGCAATTAAAATAATCCAAGTTCTAAAGTTTCTGATATTGAGAAACGTATGTTACATACGTATTGATCTTTATATAAATGGCATAAAAGAACAAAATCACTTCTGTTGTTTCATTTTATAGTATTATTTTCATTAATAATTCATGTTATGGAATGTCATAGTTTTCTAATAATGAATTTTGAAATATGGAATAAAGACGAGACAATTGGCATACATGATGGATGATTCCAACTAAAGCTCAAAATTTACAACGGGTTATATTCATTTATTGACATTTATATTGTCGTGTTAGTAATGTATTTGCTACATCTTTCGTTTTATTATAAAGTTGTATCATGTGCACACATATCCTTTCTTTATGAAATAAGAAATACATGTATTTGCTTCAGAAATCTGCATTTGTAAATGTTTGATATTCTCGCTTTCAACAAAAAAATGTTGCTCGAAGTCGTAATAAATTAAAGCTCCTTATCTTAAAAAGTGCAAGAAAGAATGCATGAATATTTCTTTCATGTGTTCACAAAATATATGTTTTAAAACTGCTATTGCTTTTTACTCAATGTCATTTAGTATCATGCATGTGATATTACTTTAAAAAAATCTCTATAAAGTATGCAAATGGTCTTTGTGAAAGTTTTTTCTTTCTTTTTTCTTTTGCTCATTCTGTTTAGAGATAGGTGTTGGGAGAAACGATGTGTGGTAAGAAGATATGTTTTATGTGCACAAATAAAAATAATTCTCATCTTGGTGCAATTTGGGGAGAACATTTTATATAATCAGAGGAATGTAATATCCATTAATCATTTGTTGTCATATGCATGGCTGAATATGTTTCGCTTCAAAAATTACTTTGAATTTATTTTTAAAGGAGAATAGCCTAAATAAACACAATAGTTGCAGCAAAGTCTCTTCGGTCGAAAATATTGGAATTAGCAACAAGAGTCAAAATATAGGTATAACTTAAATCCTTAAAAGATTTATACTTACTTAACTATATACAAACCAATTGTATAACTAAATCACCTTCAAACTGTACAATTCAAGTAGACTTATTATTGTACTATTTGTGACAAATAAATGTTATGAGACATAGGCATGTTATGATATCGTGTATGCATGTGTGAGGTAACTTTTGAATTACAAACCAATAAACAGCAACAGCAAAAACAGGTGGCATCATGTTAACTCTATATTACACACAGAATCCTTGCAACAACCTTTTCAGTGATCAAAGGTGGACTATTGCAAGACGATATTTCTTTCCTTATCCAATACATCCTCATTTCCAGTGGCATTCAAAATGTTCATGACCTCTGCCCCGAACGGCCTTTATTACAGGAGTTACCTACTGCATTCCTTTTGTAATTTGTTCTCGTCTTGAACATGCATGTAATATTTGCCCTGGAACTTTTAAAGCAACCAACAACTAGCAATCAATCAATCAATCCACTTTGAAAATGTCACAAGCAACATCTTGACAAAAATCTATGATAGTGTGGGATAGACAATGGTAGTCATGTGGAATTTATGACATAAATAGAGATTGTTGAAGAAGCCAGGCAACAAAACTTTCTAATATAGGTGAAAAACATAGAACGGCGTTTGTAAATAGAGACTAGACAATTAAGAGCATTTGTTGTCTTCCCTTTTTGTTTTTTTCTTTTTTTTGAAAACACATTATTGGTCACTCATATTTGTTGGTACGTTAAAGAGACTGCTATAACCTACTTTTAATTGACTAGAATAATGTTTATGAATCATAAGGTCAGATTATAAGACACAACAACAATCTTGTAATTGAGAACTTTCATGACAAATGGAGATTGCATTCTTCTTTAAAGTGCTAACGTGAATACTTGATGAATGTCAACTGAAATACGTAAATTCATAACCTTGGACGGTTCGTTATCTTTCTCTTAAGATGAATGAAAAAAGAAAACTAAAATCATTAAATTGCCAAATAGTCTAGTTTAAGCAGCTCATGGATATAAGGGTGTAGAAAAAAGAATTCTATGTGTACCAGACCCTCTTGTCTCCTTAATTTTAAAAATATTTGAAGATGGCAAGATTGCATTAAATGCAATTTCAAATCGGATGAGAACTACTGAGTGAATATTCAATTGTGTATTTAAGAGTGAAATTTAAGGATTAATTAAATTTAAGGTGTAATTTTTTAAATCTGATATAGTCGTATAGTAAATATTTCAAAACTTATCAATGTATAGGTTTTTAGGGATTTTTAATTATTATGATTTACTTCAATAAACGACAAACAAGCCTTAAAACAGCTGTGAGAAAGGGTTTCATCGGTAGTTCCTTTTAACACAATTGTGTCGACGAATAATTACGGATAGTGGCTGTTTCTTATCTTTTATAAAACATAAGAATGTGTATGCTACACAGGTTGGATGTAAATTCCAATTGTGTTTACCATTCAAACCATTACTAACAAAACATTCAGATTTATAACGTTTGATTTTGTATTTCTGATTTACTAAACAACATATTTAAATCATATTACTGTATGTATCATAATCGGATTATGATTTTCTTTAAAATATCATAACGCTATATGTCATATCTTGACTGTTTATGTAAATGTAAATCAATTCAATTCTCGATATGTTTTCATGCATACATTTATATAAACATTCAATTTTAGGTGACTTATAGTTGCGAACAATAACTTTACGTAATTTCTGGTGGATAGCTGTCTTATTGGAAATCATACCACATCTCCTTGTTATAAATTGTTGAGAAAAATATCTTTGGTTTTTTAATAATTAAAATATCTTTGATTTAAATCCTTCTATCTATCTAATTTAAAATCTTGAGTATTAAAATCCAAAAGAGATTATTTCAGCTTCCTTATTGTAAACTTTCAATTTCCATGTAGCAAGATTTCAGCAGTTCCTGCATATGGAGTATATATCTCCCAGTTGATTCGATATTCTAATGCTTGCATAACCTATAAAAATTTCTTTACTGTGTTATTCCATCGAAAATTTTACATATCTAATAATGAGTAAGTTGACTATTATGGAATATATATTTCACAGATTACGACGAAAATGTTCCAATTGCCGTAACCACAATCCCTTCCTCTTTTCTTAAATGTGACCTACCTAATTAAACTTATCACCAGGTGTATACCTATATGAGCAACACGACGGGTGCCACATCTGGCGCAGGATCTGCTTTTCCTGCCGGATCACATGAGATCACCATAGTTTTTGGTTGGATTCTTGTTGCTCAGTCTTCTATGCTGTTTTTGGTGTACTGTTGTTTGTCTTTTCGCCGTTTTTCGTTTTTTGCCATGTTATTGTCGGCTTGTTTTCGACTTAGTTTGAATATTATTTTGGTATCTTTAGCCTCTGTTTTACTGAATGTCTTATAAATATAGTCATTATTAGTATACCGTTGTCCAATAGTCATAAATCGATTAAGCGAAAACAACTTCGGATCACAAACCAAAACCGAGGGAAACACATCAACTATAAGAGGAAAACAACGGAACATCAGAAACACTGAACTGCAACAAAAAACAAACGCCAACATACATAGAAACGGACTATTTGATAACAACTGCAAAATTCCTCAAAATTCAAAACGTATTGTTTGATAAACTTTTATACAGATCTTTGAGTGTTTGTTTTTGGAAGTTCCCGACGAAGATGAATTCAGAAACTTACTTCATAGGCACGACATTTATAAAGTTTTGTTTTCATTTACATGTGCCCACCAAAATATAAAGTTGTTAGTTTTGTGTTCCAATACTTTTCCGAACCAATATACATGTATACTCAAAATTGTATCATACAAGATAGGTAAATATCGTCCTGGTTTGTTGCTACAATGTATCTTAACTCGCTATATGTGTTTTCTCTGAATTAATTTCACCTTGCTCATATATATGCATATTTAAAAACCATACTTAACATCGAAACGATGGTGCTCTTAATTCAAACGAGGCTATATGTAGATTTATCTTTTTGTATATTTGAAAGAATAATTATTATCTTATAACTTGATGGCGTGTGTAATGAATGCAAAGAAAAACATTACGTAATTCACTCATTAGGACATAAGTACATTTTAATTAGTTTTTTGTAACTCGAAAATGAAAGTATATTTGACATTTAAAGTAGTCTTAATTCTGTTCTTCTTTTTATATATTCATTGACACATTCCATCAAATTGTGCATTTTTATGTAAAATGTTTACTTTTTATCACAAAACAAGTAATTGTAAATCACACACATGACACAATGCAAATGGAGACAAAACTGTCTTTTACTCAGGCTTCACTCTGTAAGCGTTCCCTTGTATTTGTTCACATCTTTATCCTTTTGTTTCTTTTTTGATAGTGTGTCATTGATAATTATACTGCTAGTAGTCTGTTGTTGTTTATGTATTAATGTCATTTTGTTTATTTTCTTTGGTTACATCTTCTGACATCAGACTCGGACTTCTCTTGAACTGAATTTTAATGTGCGTATTGTTATGCGTTTACTTTTCTACATTGGCTAGAGGTATAGGGGGAGGGTTGAGATCTCATAAACATGTTTAACCCCGCCGCATTTTTGCGCCTGTCCCAAGTCAGGAGCCTCTAGCCTTTGTTAGTCTTGTATTATTTTTAATTTTAGTTTCTTGTGTACAATTTGGAGTTTAGTATGGCGTTCATTATCACTGAACTAGTATATATATTTGTTTAGGGGCCAGCTGAAGGACGCCTCCGGGTGCGGGAATTTCTCGCTGCATTGAAGACCTGTTGGTGGCCTTCTGCTGTTGTCTGTTCTGTGGTCGGGTTGTTGTCTCTTTGACACATTCCCCATTTCCATTCTCAATTTTAAATCATCTGATTTTTATATTCCAACTGGAAATACTTGTTGTAAGTTGTAACATTGATGTAGAATAATAATGATAACAGAAAATAATGAAAACATGTTTTATTTACAATGTAAGATGGTTCGCATAGAATAGTTACAATATTGCTATACTTATATTTAAAGTTTATGTCGTTTGGATTTTAATTAGAAATAATTAACAAAGATAAAATAAGCCACTTTTTTTACAAAATGAGTTAAATGCTTCAAAACATTTAAAAGCTTTGTCTGTCCTTCCATACTTTTAACAAATAACCCATTTTATTTTTACTACAGCATGTTCTATAAACTATTGTTATGTGTTGCCATAAGTGTGAAGGTGTAAAAAAATTAAAATACACTGTGATCACCTCTTACTTATTTGACAATCAAACTAATTAATATTTTAGAGATTAGAAGGCAAGAATCCTAGTTTTTAACAATTGATAATACATGTAGTTGACTTGATTAAGTAGTAAGTAAAACTAGCAGATATATTTTCTAAAGTATCTCAATTTCCTCAATTCATTTCATCCCCAAAAAAAATCAGTTAATATTTACAGTTTACATCAATATATAACCTTTGGTCTTAACATTTATCTCCGGAGATGGAGGGTTCATAGTATTCATTCACTTTGAAGTAGAAACAAATATCAAATGTAGGATTTTGAACTTATTTATTCATTTTGTATTTTTTATTTTGATTTTTCTACTTTTTTTATTTCATACACTTATAACTCAATCAAATTATTATAATTACAATCAATGGAAGAGATTCTGAAAGGACCAGTAATCTGATATCGAAACTTCATGCATACCTTTATACTAACATAAATGTAATGTAATAGAAAAAGGATATACATAAATCGATGTAAATAGCAGTGACAATTCACAAAGATAGATATGTTTTTTTAACAAAACAAAGTAGTGGGATATGTATTAATACTCAAACTTTGTGTTTTGCCTCCTGAGGAATGTTGAGGTTTGAAAATGTGTGTTTGTGATATTGAAAACAACACCTGAATATTAACAAATAAATTACACTTTCATCTATTATAAAGTTGACAATTTTCGCGTGTTGTTTATTTTCTTGAACTTAACGAAAAATTGTTCACTCGATTTAATTTGTTCTATAAGAAAAATCAAAACCGTGAACTCGAAAAATGAAAATAAAACCTTGCGGTCAGGAAGGGGTATTTTTCAACTTCAATAGGTTAAACTCCATGTAAATAAACAATTTTCCAATATACATACGAGAGAGAAAAAATGAAGGGTCATCATTTACAAACCAAGGGGTGATAATTTAAATATTTATTTATTTTTTTATATTTTTTATTCTTTTTTTGGGGGTGCGGGTTTTCCCCCATTTTTCGATATATTATTTTAAGAAAGCCATTAAAACAATTACTCACACCATATAACGATATAAAATGGATACCCAAAAAAATATCAAAAGAGAGAGAAAAAATGAAGGATCTTTATTTACAAACCTAGGGGTGAAAAATTTAAATATTAATTTATTGTTTTATATTTTTTATTCTTTTTTGGGGGGTGCGGGTTTTCCCCCATTTTTCAATAATTTATTTTAAGAAAGCCATAAAAACAGTTACTCACACCATATAACGATATAAATTGGATACAACAAAATACCAAAAGCTATGTAGAATTGATTTTAACCACCGTTGTGTCTGGGTGGCCTTGCTGGAATACACATTTCTGTCTTCGTTGGCGCAGGACAGTAACTATGTACAGCGGGCCTGGTTACAGTCAGATTTGTACATCTGCCTGGAAGGGTAGAAGTCGTCATCATTTCGGTATTACATAGCTGCATTTCCTTTGATGCAACAAAGTAATCTGTTTCCTGGTTAACTCCTGATGAAGATTTACACTTGTGGAGTTTAAGTTGTCGTAGCCGACGTCCTGGTCGTTGAATATTATCCGTCATGTCATCCATGTATCCCATTTCCCTGAAAAATGGTTTGATCTCTTCAACTTTCTTTTGGACGAGGGCATTATGTTCACCTAGAAGCTCTTGTATCTTTTTAATTGGCAAATTAAAATCGCCTCCTATCAAGATCTCCACTTCAGAAGTCCATCCAAGATATTGCGCCAGCCATAGGTAACGAGACGCAAACTGATAGAGTTCCTGTGATGTTGTTTGAGTCAGCTCCCAATGCCAACTGATACAATGAAACTGCTTGACGATATGTTGAGTCGGTTTAGGAGCCAGTATATCGACTAAGGGATACATTAGTTTGCCCTGTTGTATGCCAGGAACAACTAAGGATGGTATCAGATCGTACCAATTTGGGGTTTCCAATCGCAACCTCTTCGTATCGTACAAAAGTACAGTCTCGTGATTGTGAGCGACTTGTGCTTGACGATAATCAGTTAACACTGATGATGACATATCAGGTTTGTCCCCCGGCAAAAATAATATATCGGGCTCATCGTGTCCGATAATTTCGTTCAGGTAAGAATGTCGATACTTTTGATACTGTTTTCCTTTCCTACCAGAAGCATTCATACTGATTATCCTTAATCTATCTGTGTCTCTTCCCATTTTTCTGAAAGCGTACAATTGCTGTTTGTTATTAATTTTTTCTGTTTTTATTCTTTATACAGCTACCTTTTTGAATATCTATAGTACATTGTGTAATTCAAATAAACAACTGCTCTTAATTCCTTTAAACTGATGTGTAGAAAATGTATTAAAATACATTAATAGATCATTGGTCTGCAGTCAAATAATTCAACGATTGAATATAAATGTAGTTCAGTAATATATGAGGATATACATGTAAATGTAAAGTAGATCTTGTCTGCTCTATGGTCGGGTTGTTGTCTCTTTGAGACATTCCCCATTTCCATTCTCAATTTTATCTGATAATGTTTTTGTAAATTTATTTATTTGTATTTATTCTTGTTTTTATCTTATCAAATCTAGTTTCGTACATGTTCAAAAACTTCAATTTGAATGACATATATTTTGCTCACCTTCAAGTTGTTTTTCTTCAAAGGTATCTTTTGTTGAAATTTTGTTCGTTGAATTGATATCACAGAATTTACCTGAAAAGACATTAAAAAAATGAAGTCAGTTTCTCATTTCCTAAAATATTCTCAAAACGGTTTGTCTTATTTTGTTATATTTTTTCCTTTAAAAACTGATTTCAATTATTTCAAAATATCAGTAACTTTTCTCAGAGTTTGATTTCCGTAAAGGTTTTAACTTATTTTTTAATTATTTTATTGACCAATTTATGATATATATTTTTAAAAATTTTAAGTTTTTCTTATTTCAAATATTTACTTTCTTTTCGAACGAACTTGTTAATATGCTAGAAACAATACATTCGTGGGGAAAAGAGAAGGGGAAAGGATAAATTCTTAATAATTGTTAATTACAGTTTTTTAGTACTTTTATCTATTTGGTTTGCAGTACATCTAGAAACTCTTGAAGATAAACACATACGGCGCATATCATTTGTATAATGTCTATGAATTATGTTAAACATATATTGTATATGTATCACTAAATCACTTGTGCGCACTAATGGTAATCCAATTTCTTACGTTTTCTGAAAATAAGAAACGTATGTTACATACGTATTGATCTAAATATATATAGGATAACAGGTGTGGAAATTTCCACCAAAAAGAGTTTCTTATTACATGTGATAGCATTGTTATGCATTCTAAATTAATGGCATTAAATAACAAACTTCTGAAATTAATGGAAAAAATGACAAATTTTGTAATAATGAGTTCTAAAGTATGACATAAGACAGCACAAATGACATAACTGATGGACATATTGCAAATTAGAGGTATTCGGAGTTTATTTACAATAATTTTATTCTATATTCATTGTTTTAGAAATTTTATTGGGATTTCCGTTTTATCAAAATGTACAGTTTAATAATGTTTATAATTGTATATCAAATACAAAAATCAAATGTTGTATTCAGTTTCAAATTTCTAACTTTTAGCATATAACCGGCATGATACAATGGTTCCACGTAATTTTGATATAATAGGAAAAATATAAGATTCATAATATATTTTTTTCGGGAATATCTAGCTCAATTAGTGTGGCATCCGAAAACTAATCTTACAGTGCTTATGCAGAAAAAGTAGTCAATGTTGTAAACATAGTGAACCGAAGTGATGGTGCACTATGTCTACAACTAGTATAAACATAAGAAGATGTGCTATGATTGCCAATGAGAAAACTCTTCACAAGAGACTAAATGACAAAAAATTAATTATAGGTCACCGTATGGCCTTCAACAATTAGCAAAGGCAACTATTTCTCTTTACTATTTCTGGAATAACTGTCATCAGGTACGGTTGGAATCAATATGTTTTAAAACAAACTTATACGGTTTAAAATATCTGCCTCAATATGATCTGTTTAAGTGGACTTAACTTTTAAGTATTTGTGCTTTAAATAAACAAAAAAGTTAAACAAGTGGTCATACATTATTTTTAATAAACGAAAAGATGACATATGTGTTGCTTGCGCTTAGATAATAATAGATATGATAAAGTTTGAACACTTACCTTATACAACGTTTATTATGTATGATCTTCGAATGGTGAACTGATTTTGCGCAATAATATGCACAATGGCTCGTTTTAAGGCAGATTTTCGGAAACTTTCAGCTTTATAAATAGATTTCATCATCAAGGCTCAAAATAGATGTCGGATTTACCTGGATCGTAAAATAGCTTTAGATGGATGAATGAAAGTCAATGTTAATAATAGATTGAATATAAAAACATATATTTTACTACATATAGCTTCTAGAATATTTCAGATTGATCTGTAAACTACCTAAACGAATAGGTGTAAAATTGAAATCAAGAACTATGCATGTAACCTTTCTTCCATATAGGGTAAAGATAAGTTTTGATCGATAAAAATGATAAGAATATGTGTTTACATGCGGAACGAAATTTCTACTTATTTAATCATCCAAGAGTAACCGTTCAAAACGTTGAAAAACACCCAAAAAAATGTTAAGAATCCTTTGTATATTCCAGTAGTACGGTGAAAGTATTAAATGCAGAATGATAAACACAGGACTACAGCTGTCAACATCAAGTTGGCAGTATATTATGAATGGACAAAATGACCTCCTGTACATGCACAAAGCATAAGATGTTCAGTGACACGTCCGCTAGTAAAATTACATGACCTACTTCTTGAATTGATTATCAACAATGAACGAGTGACCAAAGTAGTCCAGTTGAATTGATGAAATAATAGAAAATTCTGAAGAAGCGAGGCGTTGTGTACTTGAGAAAAATAAAAGGTGACTGGATGTTTCCAATAGAACTTGACCTCATTTCACAAGCAAATTCTGTAAACATTAATTCAGATTTATAAAATACATTGAAGTTGTTAATTTAGAATTTAGTAAAACATTTTTCTTGTAAGCTGAGACTCTATGATACTGCAGATTATTTGTGATGTCGACCGTAGAACTTGTAAAGTGGTCATTTCTGTAAATTTTTAAAACTATTTGTAAATAAAGTGTTCTTTGTGTACCTTCATGTCTAAAATCAGGAGCGTGTTATTCAGGGTTGTTTTGTTAAATTTATATTTCGTTTATTGTTTAAAACTTACATCAGGCCGTTGGTTTTCTCTTTTGAATTGATTCACATTTGTTTATACAGGAGCTTTTATAATAGCTTACTATAAAGTATTAGTTGTGCTCAATGTTCAAAACGATTGACCAACAGTTGGCTACCATGTTTACATCCTCACTCTTCGGTCACTAGCTGATAGTTGTCTCATTGACAATCATACCATTCCACCTTATTTTCATTTATGTCAACTGATATGATCAAATTAATGATCTATTGCAAACGGTTTATTATTTGTCATAAAAAAGACATGGATGTGTTCGATCCCTCTTGTATTGGTAATATCTTTATTTGTAAGCCAAATAGATAGACTAATGTATCAATTGTAAAATTTTACTGCATTGATAACTGATGAGTGAATGAACATCGGTGATAGTCTGAAATTAAATAAAAGTATTTATCCATTATCAGTTATAAACAAAACATTTCATGTATGTACTTTTGTGTCTACGTTAATAAAAATACATTTGTCTCGTTTGTAGTTTCAGTTACGAGCAGTTATTTTGTCTTTAAATTATTGGTTGCTTCAAATAGATAAACATATTAGTTATTTATTCTGTTACGTAGATCCTGAAAAATGTATTAAAGTTATGCATGCCCTTGTGATATAGATATGGACATCAACAATGAGTAGTTTTTTCGTGTTTGACAAAGGTGGTTTTAATGTCTACCTTTCCATTCAATAATTTAATAATTGGAAGAACTTCAAAAAACGACAACAGCTGTGAAAAATGTATATATGTAATAAACATTAGATTTGTGTGAACACATTTTAATAAATGATCAACAACATTTATAGATATAATAATCTGATTCGACATTACCTGAAAATGTCGTGACACTATTTATTTGTGTTTGCTTTATCGAAATATTGAACAGCTGTATACTACTGTTGCCTTCATTTATACAAATCCGGGACTCCCATGCATATGTGTTACAACTTTTAAACAACATACATACTATGTATACGGATAATGATTTCCACAAAATCATTTATGAAAGTAAAAGTCCTATATTGCGTTAATAATAATTTCAATATAACATGAAAAGTAACAGCTGTTAATTACATCAACAAATGATTTAGAACTATATGCAAAACTCAAACAATTAAGACGACAGATTTAGTGAATAATAAAATCGTTTCTATTGATATCTTTTATTATATAATATGAAAGTTTGGTGCGTTCGAAGCGCTTTTTAATTAACCAACATTTTGGAAAGGTCAAACGCAAACAATATAAAGCCAAGGACATATATTTACGTGAATACGTGAGTGACGAAATGAACTGAAAATTAAAGTGAAAATCATAACTTTTTACAATGCACTTGAAGAAGAAATGGAAAAACACAACAATAAATATCACAAATACGTGAGTACGTGAGTAACTAAATGAACTGAAAATCAAAGTGAAAATATGACTTTTCACAATACATTTCAATGAAGACATGTAAGACCGTTAAACGTAAATGACGCCACTTATAACAGTGATTAAATGCTCACAAAGGAGAGTTTTTTTCATAACTCTACTCTAAATTGTGTTCAATTTACATAGTTCAGGTAGGAAATATGACCTTGTCTTGGAAGAAGGGGCACCGTTTTCTTATCACTAATCTTATTGCTCTACAGCCAGCAGATAATTACAATGGATCAATTATTCAAAGACAAGACATGCAAGACTGAGAACGGACAAAAATAAAAGAGGAAATTGCGTCATTGGGCATGCAATCTAGATAAAAACCAATAAGAATGACAGTTTGCTGAAATCACATAAGAGCTTAAAAATAAATTCGTGACCATGTGTACACAGAACAAGTATTATCTAGACTAATGTTATATAATTATACTTATTTTTACAGATTAAAAAAAAAACTATTATTCAGAAGATGGTGATAGCAATGTATCATACCAGGAAGATATGACGAAGCAAAACGTACTTTTGAACCTATCTATAAAGAAAAAGAGGCCGGTTTTTTATATTACGAAATTATATCTTTATGTTTATATTAGTATTAAAAACAAATCAACAAATCGACAATCTACCCCTATAAAAAAGTTATATTTACCACCTTAGTACATCTAAGACAAATGTACTCACATTTAATAATATAAACATACTACATGATGAAAGGGTATGATTTCAGGATTCTTGGAGTATTCCGTACATTTCAGGGTCGATCTGAAGTTAGCCCATTGTTATTGAAAACATGCGAGAAGATGTCAAGGAGGCAACATATAACCATAGGCCAGGAAAGGTTGACTAAACCATTGTCAAAAAGGAAATTCAAGACGAACAACACTCCATGAACACGTTTCGTAAAAATAAAGACTGAGCCACACGAACCCCAAAAAAAGGGTTGAACTCCGTAATTTTCTTTTTTTTTTTCTTTTTTTTTTTTCATTAGTGAAAAACGTTGAGTTATTCGTGTTATTCCGATAAGAACAATGTTATTTAATTCTAAGATCTAAGACTTCAGCCGTATCATTAAGAACTGTCAATCATTGTAGTTCTAATCTGTGAAGATTCGATTTCATTTGATTGTAGCTTATTTTTAACGTGCTACTAGTATTTACTATAAAGGAACTAGAGGAACTATTAAAAACATTGATTTTACCTAGTTTAATTCTTATAACAATTTCATTCAATGACAAAAACTCTTCTCAATCCACTAAAAATTGTACGATGGCATTATAAAAATAGGGAGATGGAGTATGATTGCCATTGATCCACTAAGTTCAAATGAAGTGGCTGTAAGCACTTATAGGCAACCGTACGGTTTTCAACAATGACAAAAACCTATACCGTATAGTCGGCTATAAAATGCCCCGACATGAAAAATATGAAACAATTCAATTGAGAAATCTAACGGCCTAATTTATAACAAAACAATTTACGAAAAAACAAATATGACAGACATGAACCAACGACAACCACTGAACTACAGGCTTCTGAATTAGGACAGGCACATAAAGAATGTGACGGGGTTAGACATGTTTGTGAGCGCTCAACTTTCCCTTTAACCTTAGCCAGTGGTGTAACAGCACAACATAAGAACAAACTATAAAAATCAGTTGAAAAAGACTTACATGTAACTCATCAGATCGATGCTTATTTGTTTTCACTAAACGCCATTTAACGTAACAAATATATGTGTCAGTGTCCTTGTGTGCATCTCAAATATTTACATAGCTGTTAATAGATTTTCCTCTTTTTTAATGATTCTGTTTTCAATTTGGTTTGATTTGTACATTATATTACGGGAAATAACCGCGTAACACAAACTGGCAAAGAAACAACTCCTCGACTTGAAAATAAATTGACGTTTGTGTTTTTAAAACTCTTTTGGCCAAATTTGCATTTAATATGAATAAAATGGATACAAAGAAGGATGGGCAGATGAATGTATGGATGTATTGATTGATGGATTGCTGTTTTTTGTCCACTGGCAAATATCACAAGCAGATATCGAGAACATTTAAATGCAATATGAATATAACCCTGGTCTGTTCTAGATTGACACGGCGAGTTCGGTTTTTAATGTGTTACTTCACAAGGTATTTTACCTACCTGTTCCGACTCGGAGCGGATCATTCAAATGACACTTTGACGTCAATATACGATCTTCAATAATTGTTTGGTACCATTGTTTAAAATTGTTGGAACCACAATCCCGACCTCTTTTCTTCGAATGTGACATACATTTTGTTTCTACTTATGTGTTTGAAAATTCATTTGATATTTTTGTCCTCACTTGTGTCAAGCTTTATATCGACCCGATCCTACAAAAGTTGATACGACAGAATATCTTCAATTAAAACAACATTCCTATATATAGAGAAGAAAACAATTAAATATAAGACTAATGTAAAGGCATGAAAAAGGCACATGAACATGTAGCAGGTTTAAAATCAATTATGCACCTACTTGTAAATTGTCGACCAATATTCTCCCTGAACCGGTAACAAAAGAAGGGATAGGGCTATATGATCTTAAAGTGTTGATTAATCTTCTAAAATTAGAGGTTTTCATAAAAAACATAAAATAATAAGTTTGTTGCATTTAATTTGTTTTTCAATTCATCGATCCGACACTCTTAGAGTAATAATCGAAAGGCATAAAGGCCAATCGTCATAAAAACTTTAATCTTTAGTATTGATTTCCACAAAACAAACAAATTATAGAACCAAGTTCTCTCTTATTTCTTAACTCGTTTTTAACTTTTGTTGGACGTGCATGAGCTCAAGGGTCTTAGTAGCCGAATTTTTTTTTCGTTGGTAAACGTAAAATTTGTCTAAGCCTCTGTCGAAAAGAGGAACTCATTGTCATAAATATAAAGAAATTTGACAAAAATCCCATGTAAACGATTAGATTGAGGATTTTGTCGCGGATAAAAATCTGCTCTCTATATCGAAGTCGGATGTTGTTGGGTCCGGTTCTACGATTATACATGTATAGACAACAGCAAATGGTAATTCCGTAGCCAAGAAGCATACCAAAATAATAATTATCGTTTTATTAGTTCTCTCTATGTATCTAAATTTACGTCTCTTTGAAGCAGTCTCTGTTTGGAGTCTTAGCATTTCTTTCTTTGCTTCTTTAAGCTTAAAAATTAACAAAACAGTGACCACTGTAAGGATGCAACAGGTCAGTATTGTTCCTATTGTATCTTTCTTCCATGTTACAACTAAGTTTTCTTTTTCTGTTGTATCCCGGCCACTGCACACACAAATATCACCGATGAATTCATTGTCTTCGGTATTGAATAATGCAATCGAACGGTATATTTTGCTGTGAAAAGAAGTATGATATTTATTGAAGCAGAAATTATGACTATGAAAACTATTCCCAGAATTGAATTTTTCATGGTTGCAATCCTTCGACCACTGAATAACATAGTCACCACGATAAGACGGTGAATTACTAATGTTGTAGTCAGCCATTTTGAAATGCAATAGAACATGGATGCTGAATAATATGAAAGATCGTGGAAAATACAAAACGGATACTTCATAACTTTGAAATTGTTTTCAAATCCATACACAAGAATAAACGTTGGACTAATGATTAATACTCCTAAACTATCTTAAAGCGCTAGTGCAGTCAGTAGAATGTCTGTTGGTGATTTTCTGTTTGTTATCATGAACACAGTAATAGCCAATGAGTTAAGAACCAACAAAACTAATACTATGGTGGGAATAACGTACCCATAAATAGGGTTTGACAAATACCCTGATTTGTTATACGTAAAACATAGTTGATGATGATACTCTGAATCGTTTTCACCGTTTATATACAATACGTTACTTAAATTGGAGGAGTAAAAAAAGACATTGTTCTTTATTATCATTGAGATTTGTCACTTTGATAAACCGTTAATTCACAAACTTTATATTTTATTATCGTTTGCCCAAACAATTTCCAGGGTTTCTTATTACTGGATTACCTGATAATAAAAAAGATTCAACTTTAGATGTTTGCGTAGTATATTAATCAAATTTAAAATCAGTTTACACATAATAATATATGTTTATAGTCGACAAGCCATCGGGCGGACAAATTGTTTACACATATGCATCAATTATTATCGTCAATGGTCAATACTTAATAGAAAACGAACCTCTGCAAAATGGTCTTTGGTTTCGATTTTTTTTTATGAAATACGGATCGGCCTGCTTGAAAGTGTAGAACATTATTATATCATATTAACATTCAAAATTTTCTTTCTAGTCGGATCAATTTAACATCAACGAATTTCTACCCCCCTCCCCCTTTACACTCAATGAAGATTGTCTAGTTACCCACATAAAACGCACGATCCTTTTACACATAAACTAAAATTCGAAAAGTTCATTGATTGTAAGCTAGGTATTTTTATAATATATGAAATGTTTTTCATGCTTTAATTTTTTTCAGTTATTTGAATCAATACATAGTTTTAAAATTAAAGAAGTACTCACGCATACATTCGAATTTTACCTTCTGTATGGTATAATTAGTTGTTTAACAATAATTTAACCCTACTGTGTTGTAACTGTTATAGACGAACAAAAATTGAGTAATGATTTATATTTCCAAAATAGAAACATGTAAAATGAAATGACTTCATTTTACACATGACACCTCCTGACACCTGGTATTCCTGGTATTACAAAAAAACCAGCTATTTCTACTTGCAAAAAGTGTACTTTTTCTAACCCTCTTACGCAAATAGTAACGTTAGAACACGGACACGTATTATCTTTTTGATTTTATATTTTATGATACAACGGACAAAAGTATACATGTAGCAATGCTATCAAATTTATATTACACCATTGTTTAATCACCAGGGCAGACAACATATCAAGAATAAGGTAACAAAATTTGGGGAAGAAATGTATTGACAGTAGCGACTAAGCTTTGATCCAATCGTCTGAACGTACGATTTTCACTCACTCCGAACGTGCTTTTCAAACGATTTTGCAATTCAAAAATTTGGTATCTTTTAAAAACCATAATAAAGAGCCATAGTGTAATTTATATGTTGTCTTATGAATTTTGGTTTATTTATTTTGAAATTGCGCAGTTAAGAAATTCGAAAACAAATGAAAGAAAGTTAGGAAAAAACAAATATTTGAAGTGCTGGGCTTTAATCAACGTTTCAGTTTTCTCAAATACTTACAGTGTCTTTTTTCTCATCTTAAATTTTTAACGACTATGCATTTGTTTTCGTCTATAAAGTATCTTTAAACACATAATAAAGTTTATGCATTTAATATATCTTTATTATGTGATATTATGTCACAATCTTCATTAAAATACATGAGATATTTTCCACTGGACGTAAAGCATTCAACAATCAACGAACTTAAAACATAACTCGCCAAAAAATGTTCACATAGTTCTTTGTGATTGATAATTTTCGATATCAAAACGCAGAAAATCCGATTATTTGTTTTTTGTGACTTTTCTGGTCTTTTGACAGTTTTAGGCTGAACGAAAGTAAGCTTCGTGACGTCTTATCACATATTGTGATGTCTGACAATATCCTCAGATATTGTAATGTCGCTAATAATTACGTATGCTCACATCTCAATGCCATGATACGAGACTTACGGAACGACTGAACAGGTCGGTAATGACGAAGGTAAGGACGAAAATCAATTTATTTCATTACGGATAATTTTCTGTGACAGTGCTTTCAGATTTATTTATTTTTTACAGCCGAAGAGCAGACAAGAAACTAAGAGTAATGTGACAAAATTTACGGAACAGATATATGGACAGAAGAAAGAACGAATTGATCCACATGAATTAGTATGGACCAACATGCAGATCTATCCACTATCAAAGGGAGAAAAGGGTGCAATTTCATCAATGTCATTCGTTTTGGAGCAATATACCCTATTTGGAGATATTTCATGAAATTGCAATCCAATCCAAGAGTGGATTCATTTTACACCTTAATTTATGTTTTGTTTTTTTGCTTAACCCTAGTCCTATAACACAAACATTGTGTGGCGATATTTATATTTTCTTTAATTTTTTGTATTTTCTTTTTCATTCATTTTGCTATTTGCTATTTTCGGCTTTTATAATCAAGCTGTCACGAGCTTCAAAATCTAAAAAAAAAA